AGGTCAAATAAACTTGTAGTCTCATTCCTAACTCCGGCACCGCCGTTTTCAGCATTGCATACAGTATACTACATTGTATGAAACAGCAGCGAAACGTGTCTAGTGTCTAGTTCTGGAGGATCATACTGTAGCCAGTGTCTAAAAGTTATATCACGGATGAATGGTCGTTCCCGAATGAAGAATTGTTTTTGGAAATGGCCACTTTGCATATGGTTAACAAAAGCTCAAGTCAGTATCTTCAAAAGCCTTCAATTAAAGGATGGTCGCCTGGCGATCATTCGCTCAACCGAAAAGGGCAGCAAAGCCATTTCGCATTCTGCGTTGCTACGTAGCGAATGCTGGGGACAGCTCCTGTATCAAGCAGAAGTCTGTGAATATGGTGAAGCCTGCAAATTAAACTTATTTCCCCCAGGTTTTCTTGTGTTAGAAAGTTGAAAGACCATTTTTTACTCTTCTCAGGCCATTTTTTAAAAGTCACATTGTGCCTACAATTTTATCTGGTCAAGTGCCAGAAAATTGACCACTAATCCAGGACGGCCCTTAGTTGCAGAGGATTTATGGGAAGCAGAACAACACCGTAAGGGGTGACAGTTTCTGTCGGAAAATTTCCGGTGAGTGAAATGTTCAGGTTACCTCTGGCCACCAGCGAAAATGCCCGCCTGCTTTGTTTCTTAGGTAACGCAGGATTCTTTTTATTGCGTTAGATGTTATCCTTTCAGCACTAGTCCGCCTCCGCAGTTGTGCCGTTGCCGAGTTTACCACAGAAGGAGACGTGTTGCAGCCAAACGAGTTTGGCCGAGGTGGAACAGGTTGCGTTATTCCGATAGTTAGAGGACGTGGTTAGCATCCGTAAAATGCATGCAACTAACTAACTCTTCTTAAACCAGTCCCTTCACGACACGCGGGTACCAGCTCCACGCTTCTTGCTAACCGGTTGCTTGGGTACGTCATGCAAGCTTTTGCGGAGAGCAAGGAGATCGACCCTGTACCAGAATTATTGCGGACCTTCATGGCTAACAGTATCAATCGGAGACCTTCATCGTTTATGAACTGGCGGCACAAATACTGGCGGCCACAGTTATTTTGGGCTGTGAGAGATCAGTCTATATGAACTATTCATAATTTCTAATAAAAAACTCGAATACTCCCAGATAACTTTGCTTTTAAATGCACCTGCCTAAAACTGTGCTACTCATGTATTTATTTGTTGTTACGTCTTGGGGGCGTTTCTGTCTTGTGCTGGATATCTCTATTCAAAGACATCGCTTTATGTTGTTTCCCAATTAACGGCCGGTGGTTTTTGGAGTATTACGTACCAGAACAAAAAATATCACTTACACGCGTTTTTAGGAACCATCGTCATTCCTCGGAGACGACGCAAGCGGTGATGGACTGTATGCAGTTCTTTTGCGGCTAGATAGTTACCTAATCGTAAGTAGGTAGATGAGAATTAGTCGCCAACGTGGCTACCAAAAATACGATCTGTGTTCCGATACGGTTATCGACAGAAATTTTGATGCATGGGGCCCTCAAATAAGTTTTTCGCATCCACTGGAGACCAGAGTTTCATTTCCATCCAGAGAAAACATGCCTTGAAGGAGCACAGAAATCCGACTCCCTAGAATTATTCATGTTTTCTTGAATGAACGTTCGACCAAGACGATAAAAGACAGAATTGGTCTAATAATAATAATAATAATAATAATAATAATAATAATAATAATAATAATAATAATGTTTATTCCCAACTTGTGGGTGGCATGCCGTCTGGCATGATCATGCGTTTACAGTCAGAATGGGGTACTACTGAGGGATTTGCGGGAAGTGTTGACTGCGCGAAAAGGGGACAATGTCACAAACAGTGGGAGGTACTTGATTAAACAATAACAATAATAATATGTTTCACTTGCAACCTGTAGTGAACAATAGGCATGAGGTCCGAGTAATTCAGTGACTCCGTTGGCTGCCATGAACTAAAACTGCAAAACCATTGCTGGCCATGAGTGACCTTGGGCGGTTGGGTAAATGGCCGGAGTCATAACAAGCAAAAGTGGAGGTGGAGACGGGATAATCCGAATTGGGAGAACACGGCAAGTTTAGTCTCAAAAATATGGTGCAACCTGAAAACAAGCAGACTCACTGGTTGCTCTGTTGTTGGGAAGTCAGGTGT